CAATCAGAATACTTCTAGAGGACATTTCAGTATGCGGACAGCAAAGAGTAACTTAATCCTGCATGAAAGTTACTGCAAACCATTCGAGTATTATAATGGCAGAGATTTTAAATACCCTAAAATACATCTTTAGTGCCAGTAACAGCACCTGCCTAGTGGTAGTAGCTAATAAAAATGGGTCAAATTAATGAATTAATTTTTATTACTTATTAATATTTCTTACATACACAGTTAAATATTTAGCAGCTTAAGGAGGTATGTTTTTTTCACTGTGAACAACTTTGCTCAGACTTAGAAATACTGCAATTTATTTTCGTGGATTATTCTCCAAATATTCAACTAAGTATGTTTGACTTTTTCTTTATACAAGAAATTACTTGGTATAGTATGTTTACTTTTAAAGATTTAATTTCCTTTTGAGTTTTGTTGTTGTTGTATTTTGCTAATATATGAATCCTAAGAAGAACGCTTGAATGGAGATTAAATGCATTGAAACTGATAAAGAAAGGGAATCCCAAGTCAGTAAACTTTAAAATAATGAGTTTATATTATTTGGATAAACTTAATGATATAACTAAAGTCCTCTAGATTTTTTTAAATTTTTTTTGTCAATAACTGAAAACACTCTTGCATGTTATACTTTATAAATTTCAGTAACAAACTAGTGTATAAACTAGTGTATAAACTAGAGTTCTACTTCCATTGTATATTAAACCTTTCACCAATAAAAACCAACTTTCTTCTCCAATTTAACGCTTCTATTCCTTGAGCTAAGCTTTGTTACTGATCTGAAGCATCTGCTTTTTTCTTTTTTTTTTTTTTTCATTTTGCTGAAATAGAAGACAGGACAGTTTCATTTCATTATAATCTGAACTAAATAAGAGGTTTATTATTGTCTTTTTCTTAGTAGCTATGTCTCACTTATAATTTTTTTCTTAGTAGCCATGTCTCACTTATAATTTTGATATAACTATATAATGATTCTCAGTCATATTTTATGCTTTATTTTTAGTACTTTTTAAAATTTGATTTGTTTTCCATCTTCTGCTTAAATTTTGTGTTTTCTTTGGTAGGGCTGACAATGGAACCCAGGGCATTGCACATGCTAGGGAAGTACTCTTTCAGCTAGCTATACTCCTTGAACTTTAAAAAAAAAAAAAATTAAGAAAGAAGTCTGATCTCAAGTGCACCATCTTCCTGCCTCAGTCTCCCGACTGGTTGTAATTTCAGGAACATACCACCATCCTTGACAGTTCCTATGTTTTCTTTAAGTATTTTCTCCTGATAATATAATGATGGACTTTTAAATTCTACTACTGAAACCTTTGACCTATTTATTTCTACTAACTTATTAATAAAAAGAAATTAAAACTTTCATAACTGCAAGAATTTTATAATCCCTTCCATCTTGTTCTTAATTCTTGGCATTTGTTTATGTCTACCAAAAATTATCTGTTTATTTGGATTGAACTATTATAATTTAGTCAATAGAGGATATATTTCTGTTTTGTAAATCTGAGTTTAAGGAAGACTTTCTTATGATGATTTAACACTGGGGACAACTTTTAAAATATTTATAATTATATTATGCTACCTTTCATATTCAAATTAAGGATAAAAGAAGGTATACATGTATTAGCTCACTTGTGCAGAAATGTTCCATTTTACTTAATACAGTTAGCTGCATTCTAGAAATATATTAACTTCTATACCAAGCAGTGTAGCAGATGAGATAATTTGGCACTCTTGAAAATTTTTTAAAAGTTATTTAGACACTGGATACAGAATATTTTATGTCTTTTATAATGCATCTCTGGGCTGAGAGTGAAAGAAATCCAGAGAAATCTTGAAGGAACCCTTGAAGGTGAGGAAACTCAAATCTGGCTCTTTGTTGAGATCATCAACGAAAGCCTAGATATACTGATTCTACCCCAAGAAAGCCATGTGGTGAATAAGAGACAAGAGTTTAGCTTCAATCTTTTCGTTGAGTGAAATTATAATCGTGACTGAAATTTAAATCTATACTTTCTAGTCTAAAAATCTGAACCAGATACTTCAGTTTACAATGTTTCTGAATTGGCAGCACCTTACTTAATTAGCAAAAACAAATGCACGTTTCTCTCTAGGAAAGGAAGGAACAGAAACTGAACTTCGAAACAACCCTGGATATTACATTTTAAAGGCCCTCTGAAGAATATTATTCATAGTAAAACAAAGAAAACAAAAGGAAAAGTATGGAATACATGACCAAGTAAGTCACCATTTGTGAGAGATTGGTACAACAAAAATAAGATATTTATTTAGAAGCAGTATATGAGAGGTATATACACTTCATGAAGCAAAATTTCAAGAAACAGAAGACAACATTGAAAATTATCTAGGGAATAAAATACACCATAAAGAATGGCGACTAGCCATTGAAACAAACAGCAGCTTTACTGTAGTCCATTTCAGAGAGATTATGTCTTCCAAAAGCATCTTTCAAGAAGTGGATGAAATAAAGACATAGTCAATCAAACAAAAATGGATAGTTTCTCATCAGCACCATCTCCCTGCAGATAATACTGTAAGATGCACATTAAGTGGGAGAGGGATGGCCCGTAGGCAAAGTCCAACATGCAAAATAAGTCAAAACAAATGGCAGTTATTTAAACATACCTAAGAAACAGGTCTGTGAGACTTAAGACATTGCTTTTTCCTAGTGACAGTAATCCTGGTTGAAGGAAAGCAAGAGGGCCGTCTACCTCTGTGCAATGCACAAGAAGAAAAACAAAGCAAGCGAAGTGCACAGTATTATGCCCCTAAATTATCCTTGCAGGCAGGTCCCTGTCTTCAAGAAGTTTATATTCCACCAACACAGCCATATAAATCATTAAAAAATAAAAACAGACTGAGCTAAGATCTATGAGAAATACAGTCGGATCCAAATTAGAAACGTCAGAGGAAGCTGCATTTTGTCACACAATCTGCTGTTCTCAGGAACAATATGTTGAAGCAAGTTAGACTCAGTCTCTTTGATGAGGAAAGACAGGATGAGTGAGTGATCCCAAAGGAATGATGCAGAAACCCTTAACCTACCCCAAAAGCTTGGAGTAAGGAGACCTGCAAATTGCATCCCAGAGGCTGTGATACCACCTTTAAATTACAGAAGTGAAAGGTAGGTAAAGTGAAAAGACTAGAACATACAAAACTACAGTTTTCAAATTATAGACAGGAAAGCTTTTTCCATAAAGTCTGCCAATAAGAAAGTAAAAAAATATAGCCAGCAATGAACAACATAGGTTTTGGAAACAAAGCCAGCTTCTCCAAGTCAGTGTCGTGGGGTCTGTTGACCCCTTTAGCTGTGTTGATCTCACCACAGCCTCGGCAGAGGAACCCTCCTGCTTTCTTTGGCCCAAAATGAAAGAGGCTTTCCTGGAATGGGCAGTGTCCATTTTTGGGCTTTTCTGTTCACATGAGCAGTTACCATGACCATTGAGTTCATCACACAGAACACCTGCTGAGCTCCTCCAAGACCCAGATCCATCCTGGACTGAAGACCCAGCTCTACAGGCTGCCTGGAGCTCATCTACATGCCAGTCAATCATGAAAGGAATGGAAAGTTGCATAATATTCTAAGAGGAAGATCTCACTGACGTGTGGACTCATAAGTGTTGAACTCACAGAAGTTGCGAGTAGAATAGTGGTTACCATTGGTGGGGGAAGTGACAAGTAAAAAATAAAAATAAAAGCCCTGATACTTTACAATTTTTTTTTAAATCAACAGGAAAAGTATATCTGGTTGTTACCTTACTGGCTTAGCCATTTAAAAATACTGTCATTGTCTAGAAAATAGCTTAGTCTTTGGAAGTGGAAATGGTAATACTGTCTGAATAATGTACTATTCCAAACGTCTTGTTTGATTCAGGGAAGGGTCTAGGAGCACAGCAAGGGGAACATAAGCATGAGAGGGCAAGAGTAAGAAGCCTACAGCCCTCTAATCGTGTGGGCAACAAATGTAAGCAAGCTAATATTATCGCAGGGAAAAGAGGATCAATTTTGAGTTAATTAATTTAGCCAGTATTTCTCTGCAACTGCTTTTACACCACGTATCATTACATTACTAAATAAAATTCAAAATAGCATCTTTTTTCTCTGTTTCTACTGATATGCTATAAAATGTCAGCAGCTCATATTTGGCTTCCTCAAGAATATAGGTATCACAGTGCAAAAATACAGCTCAAATCTCAAGTAGCATTGTCAAACATGTAAGAAGTACAGATATTTGTCAAATAAATTTATAAATTAATTTTAAAATAGAAATAAAATATTAACTGTTATAAATATGTTATGTGTAAATATGTTATAACTATGTTATAAATATAAATGCTAACTTTATGTTAAAATATGTACATGTTTTTAATGCTATCACAAAAATCAAGTATCAGTTAACTGAACATGTTGAAATACTTTTGAAAATGCCTGTGTATGTTGCACTTGACAATGGGCTGTAGCCTCCTTAATGGCTACAGCTCAGATTTCAGGCAGGAATTAATGACCATAGCCACAGATGCCATGGTATAAGAATCCAGGTTCAGTAACTGCTCCAGTGCATTTGTAGGGCTGACCTTCAAAGTATTATACATCATACAGATGGTGTTAAACATGCATTTTTATTTATTCTACCATAGGTCGTACATACAAAGGGTAGAAGCTCTCCTCTATGACACCACAGGCCACAGTGTGAAAATAAATTTTGTAAAAAACAAAAATTCTAGAAATGCCATTCATGGTGTAGAACACTACAAACCAAAACATAAATAAATAATATGTAGTAAGGATTTATGTTTAAAAGTTGCTATGCAATTCTTGATTGGCATTAATTATATATATAAACAAAATATAAGTTTAGAGTACTTGGTAATTGTAGTGCATACATCTTTTATTTGTAATATAAAGCATTTTAAAGAGCTTATAATATTTTTTATCTAGAGCACAAAAATCTAAATATAGATACTTACATTATTGCACTCTCCAAGGAAGTACAGTGCAAATCCATCAGCTTTTGTGGCTGCCAAAATAATAAAAAAGAAACTAATCTCAATGGAAGATTTTACATGTACCAATTCTCAAAGGTGAGTGTCAGAGATCTTTTGAATGAATTTGTTAAAGTAACCAGTTGTCATGCTGTTAATGGAACAAAATAATTGACAGCTTTATTCAATAATATATTTGTCAAACTTTGAGTATGTAGAACTGTTGGAAAATATATTTATAATTCAAGAGTTGTCTTTAAATTTTAAAGTATTAACAATATCAGAGCTGGTATTTATAATACTAAATAACTGAAATAAGCATCAATCAAAAGGACTGATCTGAACTCCCACATATCCACTGAAGTAAAAATAATTCCCTAAAATCACTTCAGGATCATCTCAGGCAATACCATAGAAATGAATAGGAAAAATCTTGGAGCAGTTGCTTAAATGTTAATTAATTTCTTTTTACTTATCAGTTTTTGGGTAAGACTTAGCTTCTCTGTTCTATGGCTTCTCATCAGTATAAGGTAGTAAGAACAGAAAATATTTCATGAGAGACTACAATGAAAATAAGTTAGTTAATGCATGAAATATGCATGGGAAAGTATCTGGCATAAAGTTAAGCACAATATAAATGTTGTTGCCATCACTAGATCCACTGTAGATATATTTTTTTAAAAATATGTGCCAAACATAGTGCTTCTTTCTAAAAATTACTTTTCTGGTATAAATTCTTCATTCTTTTCACAATATAAGGCACTTCTTATATAGTAAAATTGTAATCTAGCCAGATAAATTTTAAGCACTGGTTTTCCTTGAAAATTAATGATTTGATTCATAAAGATGTGAACTGATTTAATAAAATAGTGCCCAAAGAAAAGTAGGTGTTACAGGCATAGTATGCTCTATTTCTATGTTACAGAGATGTTTATTTGAGCTTAGATAAGTTAGGGATTTTTAAGTTTGATCCATTCTAGTAGTTTCATAATAAAAGCTTTATGCTTCAAACCTGGCTCAGCCTTAGAGGTAAACAAAGGACTTTTATCTACATTATAATTCATAAATTTTTGACAAATTTTTTAATGGGATAAAGTAATCTTTGATCCAGTTTTTCTAAGAGAATATAAAATGTTTCTTACCTACTTTGATGATGCTACTCAACTCATAGAGGAGCAATTGGTTGTCTCCTCCAGTATCCAACCGCTGTTCTATGTAGCTGTTTAGCTCATATACAACTCCTTGCATATTTGTATCTTGATACTTTGAATAAAAATAGCAAAAATAAAGTCAAATGAAATATATTCTTTAGTTTGTAAAACATGCTATTAATATAAATTTCATGTTAACAGTTCATTAAGCATTTATACTGCATGATATAACTTATTATATAATGCATTGAAAATTAGAAATTGCTATGACTTATTTTGAATTCCCTATAAACTGCATTTACATTATTTATGTGAAAATATGAAATCATAACTCTAGTTCTGAAATTCTACATATAATTGCAACTTGATTAACAAAACCAGTACAAAAGTCTGAGTGAAACATAGCAGCTTCCTAGAAAAGTTCTCCCCAGGCATGCTGGAAACTTAGCTTCCCAATCACCAGGACCCATCTGTGTGGCTTTGGAACAAGAGTGAGAGATTTGGACAGCAGCTCCAGTCACCATGGCAGCTGTACCCTCACAGCAAGGCCACAACACCAGGCTTTATCACAAAACAAGTGACAACAGCAGATGAAGGGAACTACTGTGGCCACCCTCCCCGGTGATAAGCTACACTGAATGAAAAATATGCCTGTTAATTAATCCCCCTGCTACCAAGCTTGCTTTGCTCAACCTATTCTCCAAAACATTTTACATATAAAACTCTCTCACTCATGGCTTAAAATGCTCCTAGGATTTCTCACCACAGTTGCAATACCAGACAAGTGTCTCTCACAATGGTCTCCCACACTACACAGTGTGGTCACTAACTACCCAGAAAGTTTCATCTCTTACTTCTCAATCCCTCTGCTTTCAGGGTTCCAACCTTGGCCACCTCTCTGTATATTGACAAGTCATTTACTTTTATCTTCTATGAGTCTACTACTTGTTATTACTAGCACCATGCCAGTATATCCCAGGAGTGAACAAATATAGGTAAGTGATCCAGTCAATCTTCAACAAGCACACAATGACCACCCTGATAATGTATAGCAGGGACTACACCTGACACCAGAGACCTTACAGACTGAACAAAACCAAATCCCTATTCTCAAAGAGCTTACATTCTAGTTGAAAAAGTATCAAAGTATAAATGAAGAAAAGTTTTCAATGGGTATACAGCAGAGGGATTGAGTTCAGTAAGCTAAAATCTATTCCCAAAATTGATGTATTAGCTTGTTTATCACCAGACCCAGTACCTGAAATCCACAACTTGATGTGGAAGAGTTTTAATTTAGCTCATAGTTTCTGGAGATTGAGTCTATATGGACAATTGGGTTCAAGACAGAAACAACATGGCCAACATGCCATGGGCATGGCAGATCAAACATGCTTAGTTCACAGTATCCAGGAAGCAAAGCAGAAGAACATTACCAGAAAGGAAAGTGGCAAGGACCATACAAATATTGTATCCAAGAGTATACCTCCATGACCTACCCAAAAGTGTGCTTCACCAAGCCCCAGGAAGATCCTAAGGTCAGTTAGATTGATACTTTACCCTAAATTCCACAAGTAGCCACAACTAAATAAGCTTCCCTGGTATACATTCAAAAATTGAGAAAGACTGGAACGCTAGAGTTAATTCGTTGTGTAAGATCTGTGTGTCCATCCTCTATGTGTGTACTGTGAATGTTCTTCCCCAAGATCCTGGTCCCATATTACAGGCCAGAAATTCAAGTGGCATCTATTTCCATCAATTGTGCTCCATGAATTCACCAAGAAGATGAAATCTCTGAGTGGCAGGAATCCAGAGCCAATGAAAGTATTGTTAGAATAATAGACAGAACCAAAGTTGCAATCAGAATAAACTAACTAGCAGAGATCTTCTAGAACCGGCATCTTGGCCACAGTACTGTGCTCCTAGAACTTAACAGGGAAGCCTACTGTGGTTAACAGTTTCTACATCTGGATAATCAGAAAAATTCTGACTTAAGTGAACAAAAAATTAACCTTGAACAAAACAGAAAACAAGAGTACTTCCATGAATTCCTGGAACTTTCCTTTTCAATTAAGAAATAAGAGGCCAGGCTGGTTGATACAGAGTTAGAAATTTATAATGTTTATCTTCTTCCTTCTCCCAGTGCAACCAAAGACCATCTGTCTGGGTTCCTGTGTGTGTGGCAAGGGTTATTTACCTGACTGAAATAGCACTGGATACTTCACTAATGCTGACACAAATTCTAAGACTCAACCACCATACAGTGTATCAGACAGAGGAGGGGTTTAAAGAGATTGAGGGGATCAACAGGATTGAGCCCCAGTGGTTCTCAAGCACAACCTGTGAAACGAGCTTTAGAAGGTACATCTGTAATAGATACAGATGTTCCCATACCAAAGAACACCCATCTCAGTAAGTACATAGACTTGGAGAAATCTGAAAGAAAAAATTTCCAAGTAGAGAACAGAAATAATTAATGAAAATGACCTAAAAGCAGCAAAACAGAAACTGACCAGATAATGCTTATGTTTTATAAAAAACTTCCAAACTTCCTGACTGCTACCTTTTAGAACTCACTATGGGCACTCCTTACCATCACTTGCCAAGCAGAGGGCTTCAGTTTTGTTACGTGTGTATTCTGCTCTCACACTGCTGTGTTTCATTCCTGTGCTGCACTCAGCATTTCAAAGCCTGAATTCCCCTTCCTTAGTCTTGGTAGATCTTTACTTTGTGGTATACTCACACCCAGTAAACCACCGGCCCTAGACTTAAATTTTGTGATTTCTTATTGCTAAAATTTTATCTTGTGAGCAATAAGCCGTAACTCTCTCAGTATTTTCTAGCATAAGGCTTTTTCCACATTCCCATGACTCTATAGGTAACTGTGCATTTGCACAGAATTTGTGCAAAAGTCATGACTACTTGAAATACAGATGCCTGCAAAACATCACAGGAGTAAGTGGGATCATAAAAGCATATGCTGCTTCCTTTACGTTCCATAAACAATATCTGTTTGGAGACATTTTAAGTTTTGAAGAACTCCAGGTAAAGTAGTCTAACATAACCTCTATTCTCTACTATTAATCAGAACCAGTAGTTCCGTGCTTCCTCTCAAAGTTCTGGGAAAGAGTTTATCTGAGAATGAAGCTAACCAAAAGGAAAGCTGAGCCAAGAGATAAACACTAAGTCATAATGGTTACTTTGAACCCCTACATCCAGCCACGCAAAAGCCTTTATGCCTAAAATTCTATTCCTTGACATCTGTTACACGTGAATAAATACATTCTCTGAATGGCCCATTTTTCTTCTTGGGGAGGGGAGCTGTAGCTGGTTCTAAGGTGGCTTCTTGGTTATTCAGTACTAGGACCCTTATACAAATGACAAATAGCCTGATTCTTTCTTCAATATATGACTACAACATGCGAAACCTAAACCCTTTAATTTTAATAATGGCTTGTGTACAGTGTTGAGATCAATAGGCAGCTTTTTTCCTTCCCTTTCAGACAGGAAATAGATTGTCATAAACAAGTGAGAACAAGAAAACATTCTGGGACAAGGACAATTTACCATGGAAGTTCTCGCTCCATATCTCTGGGCTTTAAGTTTTCTCATTTGTATGACAAAGATGGATCACACTGTCTTTAAAACACTTTTTGACACTAACTTTTTATGATAATCTATGACCTAGCTTTAAATTTTTTCTAGTTTATATTAAGCTTCAAATTCTAATCTTTAACTTGATAGAATGTTAGTATATCTTGTTTCCTTTGTTATTACAGTTGCATGATTATTATACCACAAAAGTTTTACTAAGATTACTATTCTATTTGATAAAATATGAACACTCAAATATTAAAAATCTGTTTGCAAGTGAATCTTTCAAACCGGAATACAGTATAAAACTTAAAATTACATGCAAATGTGAAATAGTAAGCATAATTACTATTTGTTATTAGCCTTTAGTTGCTTTGCCATTTGTTAGCATTATTAGAAAAGAATAGGCAAGGAAAAAAATGAAGATGAATGCCGAATCCCAGGCTACTGAGATGCTCTCAGGCACACGCTTACTAAGAAATCAATTACTTACTATCCCAGTAGTATCATTTATAGCTGTACTAGGATTGGCACTTGGTGATGTCATTCATATGAAAATGGACCCATGGAATCTTATTTTCTTTTATAGAAAATAATCCCCTATTATTGTTAGTTGATACTCAAATTGTCTCAGATGTGAACCAGAGAAACCTCTTCAAGATAGTCTCCGAAAGCCCGTCACAATTCCTCCAACACTTCACTTTCTCATCTCATACAAGACCACCTCTTGAATCAACTATCTATAATTCTCAAAGAAGTTCCTGTTCCTTTTAGTGAATAATGATACTTAAAATCAAAAAGCTGAACATGTATATGCACACGATTGTCTTATTAGCTTTTTAATGATACAAATGTTATCTGTATGAGGCAACCTGATGTAAATATATATACAAATATAAATGCTTATATAGGAATGCATAGATACACCTGTGTCAGTTACTTTTCTCTTAATGTTGGGACAAAATACCCGGCACTCGACAGAAGGCAATGTTTATTTAGCTCACTGCTTGTGGAAGTTTCAGTCTATAATCCACTGGCTCTAAGGCAGGGTGGTGCGACACAGGGCAACATTTCAAGGCAGCCGCCAGCAAAAACAGCCAGATAAAAAGGCATGGGCAAGCCTCTTTACTTCCCTATATTGTACCCAGGTCATCCTTCTCTCCTGGGATGGTATAGCACTCACAAAATGTCTGTGCCCTCCTCTTGAGCAGGGTAAGGATATTTACAAAGTAAGGATCCTGGCTCCCTGCTGAGTCTTTCAGTTAAACTTCTAAATTTCTCAAATTGATACAATGTATCAACCATAACAACCTTCTTCCGGTAATATCAATAGAACACTACACATTCTAATTTTCCTCATTTCCATATTTGCAATTACCTCATCCAAAAGTTGAGAAATCTAGCTATAAATATCCTTAACATATTTACATACTTTCTCAAGTCTCATAAAAACAGAGCTTCAGAACTGTGAAGCCATACCATTACAAATAACAAACCTTTATTACACAGACATTAAAATTT